CTCAGTTGGAAGACGCCGGTATCCCACATTCTCCGCGATGACTTTGTTCTCAGCGATGAGTGGGCTACGGCTCACATCACTCTCGAGGACGCTATGAGCCATCGGACAGGCTACCCTTCCCATGATTTGGCACCGGCTGCTACGGCTCAGGGAACTACCCGCCTGTTGAGACATCTACCAATGGCTGCGGAACCACGCACGACCTTCTTGTATAACAACAAGATGTTCGGGGCTATGGGCCATCTTATTGAGGTCTTGACTGGATCATGGCTGGGCGATTTCTTCCGAGAGTACTTGTGGGAGCCTATGGGCATGAACGAGACGTTTTTCTCTCTAAGAGATGCCGAACAGAGTGGCTTGGTTCTCGCCAAGGAGTACTATTACAATCCAGATGACGGAAGCTACCTGCAACTACCGCACGAACCTTCTTCTGGCGAAGAAGGCGCAGGTTCCATTGTGTCAAACGTCCTCGACTATGCCAAGTACCTGCGCATCATGATGACCGAGTCCGCGCCGATCTCCAAGGCGGGACATCGAGAGGTGAAGACGCCGCGCACTTTGGTGGCTCCTGCGATGGAACCGTTTACTGGGCCTGTGAGCTATGCCTTGGGGTGGTACACCGCCATTTTGGGAGGCGAGCAGGTGTATTTCCACAGCGGTGGAGTCAACATGTTTATCTCGATGATGATGATGATTCCTTCGCAGCAGATAGGCGTGATCGTCTTTACCAACACGGATGTCAAGGCTCCGCAGGTGATTGCGACCCATATTCTCTCGGAACACTTAGGAATTCCTAAAGACAAAAGACCAGATATGAACAAACAGTAAGTTTCCTCCAAGGTCTTTGGCTATTCGGAGGCCTAATGAAAGAAAAGATACAAAGATAGGAAGAAAGCTGAGCTGGAACATTTGCAGGCTTGCGCAAGCGAGCTGTACCCTTCACTCCCGGCCCCGCCTTTGTTACCAACATTGCCCATCCCAGATCACGTCGGGGAATTTCATAACACTGGGTTTGGCACTCTCGAGGTAGTCTTGGATTGTTCGAATTCCGTTGTCAAATGCGAGCTTCGTGTTCTTGGAATGGGAGGGGAGGCGTTTGCGCACCTTGCACCGATGATATACCTCGAGCCAATGTCTGGCAATCATTGGCTTGGTCGAGGATACATGGGAGGAAAGAAGGCACAGACAGTTGGCATCCCGATACTATGCGTACCCGTTGAGTTCAAAGTCAATATTCTTGGCAAGGTCTCGCAAATTGGTGTCGGGCTGAGGCTGGAGGGGGGTGATGCGCCGCTTGTCTGGTTTGACCGCGTCATTGTTCCGTTAGAGGCATGATCAATGCTTTGGTAGATCTCAGGACATGCTTCGCGGAAAGACATGTAATATTCTCATTTATTTGTCTTGATTCGAAAGCTATGGCGGACAACATCTCGTGTCTTTCACCGAGTCCCGACACGACTGGGGAGACCTACACAAAAATAAAGCATTTGAATACCTATCCAAATCGATGCAACTAGCCCTTCAACTATAAGGAGTCCCGATCGCGCCCGAAGAGCAAGCTCACGGTGCCACCGTAACGGCATTCCCGGCACGGAGCATTCGGTGGTGGGGCCGACAGCAGGTCTCCACGACGCCAGTAAGGTACCTGATAATCTAGTGTGCGACAGAAATGAGTCTGCGACTTTCTTCCTACAAACTCCCAACTGAAGAATGGAGTTGAGAGCTTTGAGTCACTCAGCAATCTGCACATGATGCCGCCCTCCAGAAACACTTCCCACGAGGAAGATAAGAGCTCTTCAATGAGTGAACAAGAACGAAAGTAGGTGGAGTTAGCTGGTGAACGGCAGCACCCCATTACCCCCAACGAAAGTCGCTAACGAGGGGTTGCATCAACCTAAGACGACTGCGCAACCGACTATCACAGCAGGCTTTCCGTCGCAGGCAAGCGGAGCGCATGAGAGAGCTTAGTAGCAGAGTGAACACCGACCAGAAGTCCGACAATGAGCGGATCGAGGAGCTCCAGCGTGAGAACAGGCAGTTGCGGGCGCAACTCGTCGATGTTCAGGCAAGGATGTCGCGACTGCTTGCCAACATTCAGGGTTTGAGCGACTCTGTATCAAAGACTTTGAACGACACAGGATCTCAGGACAGCAAACTTCTTGAGGAGACAGAAGATCACCCGTTACAGCTCTCAACATACGACAAGAAGCAGACTGATTACGAAAGGCCCCCTTTTCCAGGACCATCTATGCAATTGGAACCTTTTGACACATCATCACTGAACTTTGACCCGCCGCTTGCCCATCATCCTGGTCCAGGTAAGCGATTCAAGATCTTGAGATTCATCGATCAGCAACTGACGGTACTCCAGGTCAATCTGAGGATGCATTTCTATCGTCGGAACTCATCAATGTGACCGGAACCAGCCCCCTCTATACCCAGATCCCCAACATCTGGAGCTTCGAGTACCAAACTGGAATAGAGCCGTACCTGACTGCCATGGCTGCATCTCAGGAGTCGAGCATGGCACTGAGAAAAGACATGCCGATATCAAATTCGCCGTTCTCGGACCACATAAAGCTCCTCCAGCATCTTCTGAAAAGCAAGCTGGCGGCAAATGGCTTCAATCCGGATAGCCAACCGTCGATGCAAAGGTGAGTAGACCTTATGTCACAAGGACACATGACTGACAACTATGTTCAGCATATATCAACCAGTTCTCATGGTCTTGTCCATGTTCAACAGCATGACGCGACCGGATGTCATGGCATGGTACGCCAAAACGCGCTTTTTCCACATCATCGAGCTTACGGCCTGGCAACTCTACCCCTCGCCCGCGACATTCCAAAAGCTACACCAGCGGTATCGGCCTACCGACACGCAACTGAAGCATCCGCACCCGCGCGTGATAGACTGGATACCGTTCCCCTCGATCCGGGACCGATTGATAGAGCTCCACGCCGCCAATCCTCTTATCGACCAGATATTTTGCGACGCCGTCTCGGGATACGTGGTGGAAGCGGTCATGTCCGAATTGATAAGCGACGCGCCTCAAATTACAGTTTACGTCCGGGTGACGGACCTTATCGCAGCCATGTCATTGTCATCCGGTGCCGGCGACAACGATACCCCAGCCAGTCTCCCCGCCCCGGATATCACCACTCTCTTCTCGTCTCCGTCTCATGCTCGTGCAGCGTTCAAGCAGTTGAACATGGATAAAGGTGCATCGTACTACAAGATTGACCCGGCCTTTTACGCCAAATATCCAGAACTCTACGACCAGTCAAACGACCTCACAGCAAACGGCGTACCACTCAAGCCAAGATCGCAAAAGGTTCTTACGTACCCGAAACCCCTCGACGACTCCATGGTTGAGACCTACCGGAGTTTCATAGACTTTTCCATGGATGCCACCAGCACCATCTCCTCAACGACGGCCTCGTGATGTGTGTCTTGGGCCACCTCTTCCCCCCGCATTGTACTGCACTGCACGGTCAACCAAACACTTCATGCTTTCCCGAGCACCGGAGCCCCGGACTGTCAACCCGCACCTATCCGTTGTCACGCCGCATGTAACCGTCAAGTTTTGCAGGTAATCTCAAGGACCATGACATCCGTAGTTTCGGGAAAGTCTGATAACGCTTTTTTTTTTGTTGAGCGCTGACCCACCGCGATCGCACTGACTATCGTTGACTAACGTTCCACTTACTAACGCTCGGATTTTGTCATCGTCTGAAAGCTTCGGTGGGCTTTGCGGTGGGGATGGGGACTTCTATATAGAATTACCGGGAAACTGAACCAGATTCTCATGATTCCAGTGACTCGTTTGACTCTCGTTGTTGTTTTTCGTCTCATCGCCTATTTACAGCATAACATGCCTTCACAATTCCCCGCTCCCACGGCGACTCCTCGCTACAGCTTCTTGGACGATTACAGCGAAGGAGCTCACCCGGCCCTGCTCAAAGCCATTCTCGCTGGCAACACATCTCAAGAAGCCGGCTACGGAGGCGACTCATATTGCGACCTTGCCAGGCAACGGATACGTCGCCACTTGGGTCGCGATGATGTTGGAATCTTCTTCGTCCCCAGCGGGACATCAGCCAATGCCATATCCATCGCAGCGTGTCTAAGACCCCACGAAGCTGCCATTGCCGCAAGTTCAGGACACATTGTCACAAGAGAAACCGGCGCGGTGGAAGCCAGCGGGCACAAAATTATCAATGTCGCGCCAGTCAATGGCAAGTTGACACCCCAGAGCATTCAACGCGCTGTGGACGAGAACTGGCATTTCCCCCACATGGCAAAGCCGAGGTTGGTGTACATCTCTAATGCGACGGAGATTGGGACGATATACAAGAGAGACGAACTTGCTGCAATCAAGCAGGTTTGCGAACAAAATCAGCTTATACTCTTCCTCGACGGCGCACGCATCGGGACAGCAGTAGCGTCAAAATCAAACGACATGACGCTCCACGATATCCTGGAGTTGACAGACATCTTCTGGATCGGAGGCACAAAGAACGGAGCGTTGCTCGGAGAAGCTGTGGTCGTCAAGGACGCTCGTCTAGCGACCGAGTTCGAGTTCTACGTCAAGCAGCATGGTTCGCTTCTGGCCAAGAGCAGAATCATGGGCGCGCAGTTTGCAGAGCTTTTCAGAGAGGATCTCTATTTCGACCTCGCGCGGTTAGCTAATTACTGCGCCGAGACGTTGTCCAGCGGTATTGCTGCAGCCGGGTTCTCGGTTCACGCTGTGACGGAGACGAATCAGGTGTTTGCGGTCCTGCCCATGAGCTTGATCAAGGTTTTGCAGGAGCACTTCATCTTTTATGTATGGGAGAAGCGAGGGGATGATGAGGCTGTGGTGAGATTGCTCACAACGTGGGCGACGGAAACGACAGAGGTTGAAAAGTTTGTCGGTTTGGTTCAGGGCTGGTCCGCTGGAGCTGCCGAAAGTCGAATTTGATGTTTCTAAAAATGAATAATACCAATTAGAACATACATTACTTCAGCGTCTCAATGGCCTTTTCAACATCGGGAATCTCAGAGGCAGTCGTGGCGGGACCACCCCATGTAACCTGACCCTTCCCATCAACAGCCCAAGCTCCGGAAGTCTGCCATCTGTTGCCACTCTCAGTGGGCCTATTGGCGATTCCCTCTTCACGAGAGAGCTTGAACACATCCGAAAGCGCCCAGGGACTCAGTACGTGCCAGAAACTCGATGCGCCGAGTCCCCATCTGGCGTACACGTCGCGCTCTTCGTTGGCGATGACTTGGACCGGGTTCTTATCGCCGGGTCCGCCGACCTCGGACAGCCATTTCTGTGTGTGCGACTCTGACGAGTGAGAGACGGCGATGAAGGCGATTTCGGGATGCTTCGATGCTGCTTCGCGGAGCGTGATGAAGGTCTTCTCGGCGACTGGTGGGTGAGGTATGTGAGTCTCACTGACGATCCTACGGAACGAAACCCTATCCATCGTTTGGGTCATTGACTAACATGGGCATCCACAGTGCCGCAGGAAAGCGATTACAGCGGGTTTACCACCATCCCTAGGCAGTGTGAGCTGGTCGGTGCTCGGGGCCGCGTCGCCCGCTTTTGGTGGGTTGGACAGGGTCAACGATGTTGGGGACATCCATGACGTGAGCTCCTGCATGAAAGACATGGTGCAGCTGAGTTCTATAAGTACAATTGTTGCAATTAGGACGATATTGTCGAGAGAATGTGTAATCCCCAAGAATGAAAGTCTGCAATGCCCATGTCGGTGTTGGACCTCGACGAGAACGACAGCGCTACTCCATCACGTCATGGTTTGTCATCACTTGACACCATTCAGACTAGGCCGATGCTTGCCCCGGCCGGAGTGGAGTAAGGGGATCTCGTCCGAGTCCGTGGGTGATTTGATGCGGAGCTGTCTATTCAACATTCAAGTTTAAAAGGTGGATATTGTCACGAAAACTGAGTGCGGAGAGTTCAGCTCTCTCAGACTGGCGGTTATTTGAGGAACTCTGTCGTAAAGTACATAACCATCCGAACGCAATGAAGATAGTTATCCGAGACTCGATCAATGAGGGAAACAACCAATTCCATTTCGGCGCCAACAACAAAAAAGACCTAGGAATACTTCAGATATCGGCAATATGTGTCAAAAACTAAAGCAAGCTTGGCATGTAGATGCAAAGCAGTATCTATCGTCGCTTCCTCGGGGGGCCCTCATCGATCTCGAACACAGGCTTGCGCTTTTTGATGACCTCGAGTGCTCTCCTCGACATACCGGGCGGAGCGGCATCTTGTTGGGCACTACATTCTCCTTCCTCTGATTGTTTCTCTTGAAGCGCACTACCAACTGTGTCCTTGGCGCTGTTCTGAGGCGGGTAAGCAGCCGGTAGAGTTGATTCATCTGAGGCAATCACCTCTTGCCATGTTCGGGCTATCTCCCTCATGATCTTTTCGTCCTTGCGACGTCTGAGATCGGCCTCCAATCTGCTCAATTGTCGCGTCTTTGAACTACTTGCCTTACTTTCCGGTTCCTTGCCTTTAGTGTTTCTGTTACAGCTGGTTCGCGATTCTTCCTCCTCGGGCCCCATAGCGAAGCTGGACTGATTGACCTCGTCAAGTTGATTGATCATGTTTTGAAGAAAGGTTGCCGTCGGAGTGGGCTCGAATACTTCCTTCTCCTCGGACTGCTCCTCTCTTGCGACTTCTTTGGCCTTTTCTATGGTGTCAATATGAGGAGCAATGTCGTCTTCTGCCGGTGGTTTCGGAACCTTTCGAGGGCGATTGGCCCAGATAGGCATCTTATACCGGGCTAGAAAAGGGGTCAATAACATTTCACCCAAACTGATCGCAAGACTATACTCACGAGCAACCTTTTTCCTAGGATCCCAGCTGACAATGCGCCTACCATTCTCTTCGTTCTTTTCCTGTACTAGAACCGCACAGATGAGATTTTCGCAATGGGTGTCAAGGTACGTTCTTAACTCCTCATCCCCTACAATACCTCCGAGGAAGGGTTTGAACTTGGAGTAGATGGGATTGCATGATCCGTAAAGCATCGCAGCTGGGTTTTCACGAGTAAGAAACTTGTGAGGTAGACTTAGAGACAGAATAGTACGAAGTACACTCACCTGTTAAATCGTAGGCGAAGCCATCTGAAGCCACGAATGCGTCGTATTGGATATCACGGCCCTCGTCGGTATGTCCATCGAACATTCTGAGTTCCTCTGGCTCGATTTCCGGAAGACTGTAGCCTATTGCCTCGACTGTTGCTACAATGTAGCCCCTGAGACAAGCAAAGCGCATGAGGGGCCCGTCCTCATACTCTTCTGCTTGCAGAGCCTCCGTGGCATCGAGTCCGAGGTAGGGCGAAAGAGAATCTGCAAGTTCGGAGAACTCTCCATGCTCCTCTGACTCTCTGAGAGCTGTACCATCAGGAAGTCAGCATATTCTCAAAAGCCTGATTTCGTAACGATGTCATTCAAGCTCACCTTCCACCGAGTAGACCTCCCTGCCGAATCTGATTTCATGTGGAAGCACAGGCCTGTCATTAACAAGACTTTCCACATCATCATCTGCATATTCTTGTCGCTGCTCGATCAAATTGCCAATGTACAGCTCCTGCAAGCTTTTGAGAACTCGGTTGCGATTCGTTTGGTGGTACTTATTGAAGAGATCTGTAATGTCTCGTCCACCATTTTCGACCAAACACTGGAGCCCCCCTGGATGTGTTTCAGCATAGTCTGCCATATGATCAGTCATTACCCTTTTAGTTCTTTAGCCTTAGCCATCTCTCTACTTACCGGTGATGTTGTAAACCTTGTTCTCAATCGCAACGTACAACCCTGTTTCTCTGAACTCGTGTCTTCTGAGTGATCGGGGCGTGAAGGTTCTGACAGAATGCTTGTCGGCAACTACGCCTGGAGTTTTGGCTACCATGCCAACCCGCCACGGTGCAAGAGATTTCTTGATCTCGTCAAGAGAATACCCATCTTGCAGTAGTTCAAGAGATGGATCTCCACCTGGGTTACTCGCCAAGAGCCTCCGTAGTCCCGGCTCTGATAAACACTTCAAATCTGTCTGATGTCAGCGGTCAATCAATGTGGGTTGTGTCTGCAATCCTACGCACGAGTAATATCAAAAACGCTGTTGTGTATGCGGATCCATAACGGATCCCCACCGGTTCCATCACATTGAGCAATGTCATCTTCCCGCAAGATGCGAACCACTCGCCCCAAGGGCAAGGAAAGTATGTCAGCTTCGTAGAGACATTCCACTCCATAATCAGTCAACTGAGTGCCGTAGAAAGCGGGCTTCGTGAACTCAGGCAGTTCGTCCTCATCAAGCTCGAGCGATCGACAGATGGCAGAACATTTGTGAACATCCAGGTGGTGCCCATTCTCGACCAGAATCAGCTCATCTCCGAGTACTTTCGCGTGATCGTACAGCTCAGCCACTGTGTAGTATGGTAGCTGATATCGTTGATGACTCTCACCCTGCTTTGAAGGTACAGTGACGATGCCAGCCTTCGCAAAAGCCGGCAAGTCTAGGGAGGGGTGTTTTGCCGGGTCTTCTCCGTGGAATGTCTCGGCAGCTCTGTCTCCACTGTCCTTGTCTGTAGAGTTCCCAGGATTTGCACCTGAACGATGAAAGTCCAATAGTGAAAGTGCCCTACCATCGTAGGTTTGCCCAGGGTATTGAGGCACTTGAAAACGGAAGTCAAGCCACGAGGTGTAGCCGTTTGCAAAGTCGGCATCCAATTGGGCTCTTAAGCTTGAGCATTCGGCTACAAAGGCGTCTCGCAAACCGGCTGGCTCTATGCAGAGTGACGTGTATGTATTGAATGCGGTCTCTGCTAGATCAATGTTACTGTGGCGATCACTGCGTGCCAAATATGGGTCGTTGGGATCTTGCATGTGTCGCCTTACTAACTTGAACGGCGGGTAAAACCATCTTTCCGCACATGCTGTTTTAATCTGTGTCTGGATGGCGTCTTTTGTTGACTGGCTGAGCGGGAGACTTTGGGAGATAGTCCAAGGGTTCGATAGTAGTCGTTTTGGCTGTTTCGCCGGTACGACTTCCTCTGCTCGTGCAGGTAGCGAGGCTAGCAAGAGAAACCCTATGGCCCGCCAGAACCACTGCGTCTTATTCTCATCATGAATGCGAGCTTGAAAGTTTCGTGGAAAAACTTCATATTCGAGTACGCCGTATTGGTTATAATCCACGTATAGCGGGTGAATCAATACATTAACTAGACAATCTGTGTCAAATTCGTCACGTTGGTTCCTGCGAGCTAGCGGAATCGTTAGACATGAAAGTCTGTGTCGAGGATCGACCTGGCTGTAAGGCGTCATCTGCCACATTGCGAATGTGTCTTTGAACCACGGGCGCATTCTCTGATACTTGAGCCGCCGGCTGTGCAAACTCCTCGCTGACATCCTGAGCTCATCAGCCTGGAAATTTTGAGGGACGAAGCCTTGCTTGAACCAAGCCGACTTTTCGATAGTCCAAACCCAAGGTTGGTAAAAGCCCCGATTTCCGTTCTCTCTCGTGACCTCGAGCATTTTGGGTGCCTTCAGGCTCGAATAACCATACTTAGAAACGATTTGAGTCCAGAAAGCCTCGGAAGAAAGGGAAGTATGCCAAAGTGATGGCAGAGGCCAACTCGTTTTGATGGTGGGGCTATCCAAAAGGAAGTCATAGGTAAGTGTAGGATCAGATACATGAGGGAACCTGTTGATGGATAGAATCAATGGCGCATAGTTCATGCTGAGCAAGTTTCTATCGCGTTTGGGGATAAGTCCAAACACAGTGCCTCCAAATGCATGTTGTTCAAATGACCACCCGAGCTCGCACTGGTGTTCCTGTGGGCCGAACTGGCAAAAATCATTCTTATCGGCAGATCTAGCGAGTAGAATATTCAGGTTACTTACGATCTCAAAACCGTGAAGCGGGACTCCTAATTTTTGTAGCAGGACCTCACTGCTCAAGTTCTGAAAACCAATCACATGCTATAACGAGGGTGTCCCAGCGTTAGTCGATTCTGATACAGGTGTCCTCAGGAAAAACACCCAAAATCGGTGTGGAGTTACCATGAGTTCGTGAACTAGCTGTACAAAGGAGCGCATTAGTAAGTAGCAAGTAAAAGGCTCGCGAGATTGCAGACTCACAGTGTCTGCAAGACACACCAGCGCCGCACTCTTAGAAGATTGAGTGGCGTTTGCATCCAGAAGCGTCTTTATCCCAGAAATGTTGACGAAGACCGTGATTGGCCCTTCCGATAAATCGTATGGTGCCGTCAATCCCTTGATGATTCCGTCCGGCTGATATGAGTTCAAGGTTGTTTTGTCGTTGAAAGTCCAAAATATTCTGTTCAAAAGGGAAGGCGAGGACAGCAGCTGGATCAGTTCTTTCGCAGGTTTGCGAATGATGGGAGATGATTTCATTCTCCAGATTTTGCCGACCTTACTCGAACCTGACAGAAGTGTCGTTTCATGGCTCTCAAGGTTTTCCGGGATGAGCAGAGATTGTAGCCTGAAATGAAACGCACAATGTTAGCTCTGTCTTGATTCACACCCTACCTTGCTCTTGTCTACAGTATGATGTCAAGTCTTTTTGGAATGTGTAATTACCAGCCTCCTTCGAGGGATTTCCGCACGATGTTATCAGCAATTTGTATCGCCTTTTTAAGAACGCCCCAGATGACCGGATCGTGCGCGCTCCAGAGACGCGATCCAGACCAATTGGTGGACGAACTGGGAGGCGCAATGAAGTCAATCATCCAACGGTCCCTTGACCAAACAGGCAGCCAGGACGACTCGTCGACTTGTATTTCGTTGCTATTCATTGCTTGCCTCTCGCCCGTTGCAGTATAGGCTTCCGTCTTTGCCAGTACCGCAGCTTCCCAGGTTCGCAACCCCGAGAGACTTGAAAGTTGCTGTCGCTCCGAGAGGAGGAGATCGTCCAGCTCGGGAGGAGACGGTTGTGGAATTATGTCAGAGTGTGGTTCGATGATCTCGAGTGTCTGCGGGTCAAGAGATGGGAAGATTGGGTCCATCCATGATAGGCCATTCTGTCGCAGCGGGCGTGTCTCGCCAACGCCATAATACCTTTCCCAGCAACTTTCTGAAGAGTCAGGCATTCTGGGGATGTTCAGTCTCTGACAGAATGAGTGATGCCGGAGACCAGTCTGCGTCTGAGTTCAAGACAGATTCGAGTCTTGAGCAGGTAGTGGAAAAGTAAGTCGAGCGGTTGAGTGAGAGCCTTGCAACTCAGAATATAGATCAAGCATTTTGGTAGATCGGATTGGAATGGAAAGACGAGCGAGAAACACAAACGCTCCTCAAATGACTGAAAACAGTCGAGCGGTACAATTTTGGATTACGTTCAGCATTGTAACTGAAAAAAGATGAGCAGAAACCCAAGGATTCATGAAACCTTGGTCTTGGGCGCAAAGAACTGTTCAATGAACCTTTCGGCAAGGGGTCAACGTGGGCTTCCTGTTCCTTTGTGTCCCCGCCGATGGGATGCGTGGCCGGGGTCCTGGTCCCTTTCCGGATTCAGCGACATGGCACTGCGAATTTGTGCTATGTTTCCAGAACAATGAATTACAAATGCTTCGGATCATGGGCATGGTAGGTAGCCGAAACTGACTTGCGAGACGCACAAAGCCCAGAGTGGAAGAGGAACTATCTGCTGAGACCACGGGTCTGGTAGGGCCAAGGTCTGGTACGCAACCTCATGTAAGATATTGAACGTGAAACAGCTTTTTATTAGTACTCTTAGAACATCCCAGCAATGCCAATGCCAGGCGATGGTCGTTGAAGAGGTGTTGGAATTCGGCACCGTATTCTGATGTGGCAGATTTTGACATTTCTCGCGAAGGCGGGGGACATTACTGTTCGGCTTTCATGCGGGCAAAAGTGTTTGGAAGATGAACAACCTTAAGTTCGAACACATAGGTGCGTCATGAAATCTCGAATACACGCTCAACAACCTTCTACCGAGTCATCATTCAGATCAGTTCTGTTCCCTCATCAATCCGGCCTCAATCTTCCACACGCGTCCTTGCCATCATCACCGATACATGTACAAGTCCTTCCACTCCCATTCTTGCCTCGGCTTCTCTGTTCCCCTTGAACTTGTTCTGCTTGAGCCTTCAATCCCAGACGAGGGACCACCAGCAGAGCCACGAGATTCTTTGACTACCTTCTTGTACGGCCGTACCGGAGTCGGCGAGCTCTTCCGTTTCACGCCTGCAGCTACTTGTTCTGGCAGTGCAAAACGGCTTGTAGTAGCAGCCTTGATGCTCTTTTCCTGCACCTTAAGCTGCCCATTATGCTTGCGTTTCGTGCCGGCCACGCTCTGGATTGGTTGGACAATCTGGTCTGAAGTACGATTCGCATTGCCCTTTTCAGCAGCTTGAGCAGATGACATAGCAGGTGTGACTTTCGAAGTTTCATCACCTTCCAAGTCAGGCACATCTTCGGAGATCGGCCTGAAGGACCTTTTCCAATCGAAATCGGCATCTTGATTCGGACCATGCTGTGCTATAATTCGATATTGGAAGTCTGACCACAGCCTTCGCTTCAGTTCTTGGTCTTGTGATGAGTTGGAGAGCGTTGTTCCGGCACGAGGTTTCAAAAGCTCATTGTACCCGTCAGGTTTTCCGTATCTGAGGTATGCTGGTGGAGTTTAGTTACTCGAGCAGACAATTAGTGCCGACGGCAATACTCACAAGTCAAGTTGTATATGTACTTGCTGTCAGAAACGTAGGATTCACGGAAGCCCCAGGGCTCAACTTTGCCGTCCATGCGCGCCAACATTTGATCGTCCATGAAAGGCAGTGTGTCTATTGGCGCGACAACCTTGGCGACAACAAGCCATTTTGTATCAAACAGTCTGCAAAGTATTTTTGGCGGGCTTGCTGTGTCCATCTGGGCCGTCACATTCTTTCCCCAGTATTCTTCAAGTTCTTCAGATGCCAGGAGACCCCTTAACCCGTTTAAGGCGGTACCTGACAGCCTTGAAAGATCCGCTAAGCGACTACTGTCAGTAGGAACTTCATCTTTAGTCCGGAAACGTGTTCTATACTTACCCTTTCGGCTGAAGACTTGATTTCGAATTACAATTTGATCCGGAGATATAACGCCTGGGCTTTGCTCAGGGACGATCTTACCAACTTGCAGCCTTTCGAAATAGACATGTGTAGTGACACCAAGGAAACCCGTCGGGACTCGATGGTACTGCTTAAATTCACGTGTACAGTCTTTCCCGGCGACGCTCTGCAGAATCTCCATACCACCAGGATGAAATTTCATGAAGTCTGTTTGATCAGCATTGAGTACTCGACCTGAGTCTTTGAACCTGTACCGAACTTACCTGTAAGATCTATTACCGAATGCCCTTTGAAGATGGTGTAGATCCCTGTCTCTGGGTAAACGTGCCACTTGACTTCGTTCAATGTGAAATGGCGTAATCGGTAAACGCTGTACCTGTCAAGATCTCGCGTCCTGATCCCAATCTGATAAGGCCGAAGGAAGTTGACGATAACATCAGGATTATATCCTAAACTGACTGCCCTGAGGAGAGGATTTTCCTGTCGTTTTTGCTTAATAATCACCAGTAAAGGCTGCATGTGTTCTGCCAGTTGGAAGTCTGAAAGATCAGCGTACGAGCCTATGAGCAAGTCTCGAGAATTCCAAGCCAAGGATAAACTTCCTTGTCAGATCACACGTCAGATCAAAAACGTGGTTACCCAAGGCTACACATGACAAGCGGTCTCTGTTGTAAGCCAGTCTGATATCTTCCGTGCGCATGAGCTGCATCACTTGTCCAATGGGCCCATTTTTCAAACACAATTCACGGACCTTCTCGTTCATGTCTCCTGTGCGAAGCACCCTATTCAAGACAGGACTGGAGAAATCTGGCCTCATTGTCAGTTTCTCTCGAGTTGCAGCATTCCACCCATACTCCGACGACAATATCCCACTGAGGTCGTAGATTAAATGCCTGTCATCACCGTCGGCTTTGTGGACAAACCACTTGACTCCGCTACCGACGCGTTGATGATCACCAATTTCGCCTACATGGTAGTGGCGAAGCGGAGGGGTGATCTCAGCAGATTTGCCTCGCGACGGGACCGGCACTTGAGCGATCACCGGTCTCGCGACAGCCCAGGATGGAAGATCGGCGTCGTCAAGGTCAATCCTCTCCGAGGGAAGTCCTTGAACCTGCGATGCTCCGATAGGGTAATGCGTCTCTTGAGTGACGTGGGTGGGCAAGTCTCGGTAATTGTAAGTTAACCACCCATGGTCATAGGGGGATTGATCCATCATTCTCCTTATATCACGGCGGTCATACTCGAAACCTTTAGCCACCTCAGGTGACACATTTCCGAGAACTTTCCATCGTAAAAACGACAGTTTGGCGTTTTCCATGCACAGCTCTTTGTTGTGGCTTGGGGTATTGGAGTTGTGTAGGTACGTTTCAGTCGCTACTGATGTTCTTTTTCCCTGATTAGTAGCAAGGTCAATGACCTCCTGGCCTCCAGCAGCTTTGGGTATGCTCAGTCTTTCGGGATGCAGTGGCCTTGAGGTCGGACGACTGGATGGCGTAGGCTTCTTCCTGACGGGCAGCGTTGCCAACCACAGATATGCGTAGGCGTGGTAGAGGAACCTCGATGTCGTTTTGTGTCGAATCTTGAATTTGGCGACATCGAGACTATAGTTATATGGCCACAAGACGCTCTTGAGCTGGTGCCGAATATCGGATTCCTGTGTGTCGTGATGGGATTTAGACGAAGACCCAATGTCGGCCAATTTGCATCGCAGTTGAGTCTCGGCATATATCGTAGCATGCCATTTGGTGTATTCTTCCTTGTACCATGGCCTCAGCCTTCGGAGCTCCAATCGTCTAAGTCTCAAGCGCTGCGCAATCATTCTCATACTATGATCAAGGCGACCGTATTCCGAATAAGGGGGGTCAAGAATCTTGGCTCGCGAGGTTCGTGCGGCGTCTTGATAGTGGCTTTCCCAAACCCGTTCAGAAACACAGACCCCCTTATATCTCAGTGCCTTGTATCCGTATTTTGGCACATGCGTCTCCCAGAAGTCAGAAGATGTCATCGCGCAAGGGACGATGGCAGGTATGCCGGGCCGATGTTCCCGAAATGCTTCCGTGAGAGGCCCATTGTCGTAGGTATCCATGCGACCGGCGCTTGACACGCAGAAAGCTGGCCAAGGGGCACGTATGCCGAAGAGGGCATGACCAGCCCTTTGGGGACCGCTGGAGACGTCCTTCAGGGAAAATCCAAAGAATGACATTTCCCAAGAAATGCCCGCCTCTGCATACTTCTCTTCGTCCCAAAACTTTACTCGCGACCACATAAGCAAGAGTTTGCGCGACAGAGGTGTTAAATTTTACTTACAGCTTCGGTCGCCATGAGCGGTTCCTCGGGATGCTTTTCTTGATACGATCTGTGCATGTGGCCAGATATACCATGCTATATTTTCCATGTTTAGTGAAGTTATCTCGGCAGAAGAAGATCTTGGCATAATACCATTAATTCATGCAGTATCTAGCCAAAACAGAAACTAGTCAATACCTATTAACATCAGAGGAAGGTTGGAATGGAGATCTAACTCACAGTCTTGGTCACCAGAAACGTTGCCTGGCGGCCTTCAGGGTCCTGGAACATCATGTTTTGGAATATCGGCTGGAAATACTCGATACCAACACGCATCCACTTGAGCAGCCTCCCGTTCTTGTCAATGAGCTTTGATGTCAATCCAATAGCTGAAGGCGATTCCTCTCTAAGATAGAATCCCCAAAAGAAAGTGTCGGCGATGTCGTCAAGAACCTTTCGAGCTTCTGTTGGACTAAGACGGGATTCGGGGCTGACCGGCTTGACGCGGACGATGGTACCCTTCCGAGTGGCCTGATGTTTTGACTCTACCGTTACATCCCGTCGAACTTCACGGGAATCCTCCTTTAGAAAACTTGCCAGCCTAGCGGATATCAAGCGTCAGTGAAATGCAGATGTGCTACAAGTCTTTCTCCAACCGGAGGACAAAGGCCTCTGATTCTGTTCGTACGTGTAAAGTGGGAACACACCATTCATGACTGAGTGCTTCTTTCAGAATTCTATTTGCAAGCTCGATGACTCTGCTTATTTTGGCCCAGGTTGCGTCATCGTCGATATCGATCGATAGCCCGTTGGGGTCGGGGTGCTTGTAACTCGACCATCTCTCCCTTCGGAAGATCTTGAACCACTTCGTTTCGTCCACCTCGACAAAGTCACTGGTTGCCCAAGATACGTACGGATACAGTGTCAAACCATCCATAAAGTTTGACAGTTTCTCACGTGGATCGGCATCAATGAATGGATCGCTTTCGTCTTCGATGGCACCTGTCACGTCCGATACGCGGTAGGTTGGTCCATATGCGTCGATGTCTTGCAGGGCCCAGTATTCTGGCATACGCAGCCCCCCAAGGGCTCTCATTTGAAAAGTCTCGCTGAGGAAAAGCCAGTCGATTGCTACGGATGGCGGTTTCGGTACTGGGGTTTTGTCATCCTCGAAGGCTTCCCTAGTTGTATCCCAGTTGGGATACCGTATCGCCCAGAGGCTCGATTCGGAGCTAACGCCAGCCATTGTGTCGTCTTTGGTGAAGAAATGAGGAAACGAGAAACAAGAAAGAGTAAGCCCGGAAAAGATTGGGGCACGTCAAGTTCTTGACATGTTGAGTGATGTACGATTTGAATTGGTTTAAACCTGGACCTCGACGTTTCAGTTTTCGGAACATCGTTCCAGAATGGAAACAACATCTTGTCAAGACTCCTTGGACGAGGGCAGGAAGACACGTGAATCAATCGAGGATAATGCGTCAAGGCTCTCCTCATCAATGGTCCCTTGAGTAATGTTTGTGCAAGCGGCACCTCAGCGACGTCCCTTTCAAACCGCTAAGCAGGGGGGGCCTCTATAAACAATGGAGAGATTCGTTCTCCATGGACAATGCCTTTGGGAGCAGCACCAGGGTCATGTGTAACCCTCCAAGGATAGGGACTGAATATTCATCCTGGGCTTTACATTAGAACATCCTGTTTGTTCGATCTGACTGTGTGACTCAAACATCCAGATTGAGTGAATGCATCATGCTCCGGGACAATGCTTGAGAATCAAATGAGTCTGCAGTCCAATTATTGCAGAGGCATCTGTCCAGTCGGCTGAGACCAACATGTGAGGTTCGTTTGGCGGAAGGACTGGGACACGTGAGCCTCGCAATGTGGAGGACGGTATTCATGAGGCAGAATGTCCCGCAAAGAAACTGTAAAATGGGGTGAAGTCCGAACAACTGGCAACCTTAGGGCAGTAGCCATTGTAGCAGTGGCTAAGGTAGATTGAGAAGCAACTTCGTATTGTGTCGACCACGCCGTGGTGCGGTTTGCCGTGCATGTTTGTATCCAAGACCTGCAATCAACCTCAATGTGTTCAGTGCGCCAATTAGACCAGCTGGATGCCCCGGTCTGCAACTGAGCGGAATCGAAGTTCCGAACAGATCGAATGAGAATTTCCGTTAGCCCTGTTCACGACGTTGCGACGTCTATTCCGGCGAGGCTTGGTTTGCTCACACGAGACGAGGCTCATGATCATCGCTCCATCAGTTGAACATTTAAGAACTCGGCACTCCACGGATAGTTGTAGTCCAGATGTCATCTTCCCTTGACTGCAGAGTCTTCTCTCTCAAGAACACAAATCTGGCAAATTCAGACTCCATTCTTCTTCTTCAGGATGCGCGTCGCTCACCTCATCAGGCTCGCGGCGGCGATGTCCCTCACCTTCACTGCTACAGCAGGCATCGCAATCAGGCGCGCAAATACGACGCAACTGCAAGTCACTCCAACCGACAACTCCCCTCAGGATTTCGAATCACTCCGGGGCGGAGCCTCAGCCACCTGTCACTCGTTTACGATCAATCCGCGCTACTTCACCTTGTTATACGCAACGTGCCGTGATCACCTGGGCTTTGAGAAGATAGGCCATCTCAACTTGAACCTCTGCCTCGCAAATTCTTGTGGCAACCTTGAGGGTCGCGCAAGGTAAGCCATTGACTGGCAGCGAACCCACATGCTATAAGGTCGCAAGACATTGTGTTCTCTCAAAGCTAATGATGCCGATTTTCGATAACCAGAGGACGATACTCGGAGAGCTGCTCGGCGAGGACCTGTTCGATTGACGGGCTCACTTTGAAATGCAAATGCGAAAATTGCTATGGTAGATGGAGCTGGACTTCTATCAATCTGAGTAGGTGATTTTCAAGACTTGACAGAAAGTGTTCGCTGACTCAATGCTTCTTAGATGATATTGTTGGAAACGACAATGGAAGTCTCGTTTGCCACGGTCTGATGGGGCTAGGTTAAGATTCCGCATTCTGCGGCGAGGTGGAGCCGCAATGTCGGCCCGGAGTTGAGTTGTTAACATCCGGCTGCTGCAGATGGGATCTTGGAAGACACGGGCAACACGTAGACTCTTCTCTGCACGTCATGAAACGGTCAAGGCATATATACGGAGGTCATCAGGATCCATGCAGGCCACCGAGTCTACATTTAGTTCAGCAGACAGTCATGTTACCTTGTTCTGGCTTATCCCTCAGCCTCAATCCCAAAAGGCATGATAGTGACATTTAACGGCATCACCGGGGAGAAGCCTATCATATGTAGTGACTCTCTCCTCGCAGCAAAACCTAATCCAACGTGGGTGCTTTACCTAGTTACGGTGAGCATGTGCAATGCTCTATGAGCCTAGCCAGTCATCACTTAATCTAGACCTGAATTAGACGTGCGGAAGTCTTCCATCCTCTTCAGTATTTATCTGTATAGCATCGATCGGTGGCCATGTTGCGAAGGTGGTCAAGGCCTCAGATGGCCAGGCTTTTGGTATGCAACCGCTGGGTAGAATATTTCCCAGTTGTCGGGGGCTACGAGACTCCAAAAGTAGGCGTAAGCTCTGTAATATGCTCTAGGAGAAACAAGGCAGTCAAGGCAATGACGGGCCCGCTGACAGGTGGGCCATCGGTCGTCTCGACGGCGATATTGTGACAGGAAGCGGTTATCGAGATGTAGAACAGGGTCGGTAACAGGTTTCGGAACTGCGAACGCAAAGTATGAGTAAGGTTATTGACGTCTTGCCGTTGTTTTGGTAGTAGAAGGTTACTGACTCTCGTGATACCACGCTATCGCGTGGCCGGAACAACGTATTGGCAGTAGTAGGTAAGCAGTGTATCAATCAGGGCGGGAGTGCCGCCGTACTGTCGCCAGAGCTGTTTCCCAGCGATTGAGGGATGTCATCACTGAGTTGGGCCAGGACGGGTCGGGCCTAACCATCTCGGAAGATACGATGAAAGCAAAAAAGGGAGACGCAAGAAGGGACACGAGAGTTCAGAAGTGTGATGTCTTTGGATTGCACCGCGACATCAGACGCCAAACTTTGTCGGCCATGCCGCGTGGATGGAGGGCAGTTCGCGACATCAACGTCACTGCAGGACCTGGATTGGTCTCTGAGAGGGAGCCAATCGGGGATTGGTATATCGGTGATAACACCCGAATAAAAGCCGAGGGGAACAGTGGGTCGACAAAAATTGGCGTCTTATGTCACTTTTGGCCTTAGGCAGAAGGTACCTGGTGAGTAACGTACCTACCTTACGGCAGGGCCAGATTTAGAAAAAAGTTTTTGGCAGGAGCAGGGTAAACATTCAAGCATGTGAAAAGCCATCAAACCACTCGAGGCTTTCAACGCTCAATGTTCGGGTCTCTGTTGTTTGGAATGAAAGATATCTCGCAAAACTGATGACCGTATTATCTGCCACCACGAGCAAAAGCCAGGCCATCAGGCGGTCAAGAAAGCGGGAGGGCGTGCGACCCCTGCAGTGGTTTTGGTGGTCGTTGCCCGGGCTAAGGAGATGACGACGGGCTTGGTGAAGGATCGAGAGAAAATTCTACGGGGCCCCACGATTTTGTGGAGTGGTGAGGGAGTGCAACGCCGCAATCGCAATCAACGGCTTATCACCCCGCCATCAATCGTGATGAGCTGGTGGCCTGAACGTATCGATAAGAACAGATAACAGAAGCTATGAAGCTCAATATCAACGACATCGAAGTGGAGGGGGAGGACGGCTGACGGCTAATCGGGTTGTTTGCGCCTCTCCTGTGGGAAAACCACCTTTGAAATTGTTAAGAGTTGTAGGTTCTTTCCAATGGTACCGTTTTCCAATGCTAGAAGAGCGGTAACGAAATGTTTGGGTACCATAGTATTGAATCATAGGCAACTCCAAGTATCTGCAAGCTAAGGGCACATTATTGACGACGTTCACCGTCGAATGCGGGAGGACAGGAGTGCAGATTATCGATCCGTCCAGCCTCGGAGGTCTGACCTCGTGCATGCTTCGCAGCCTGGTCCAGACAGCCAGTCAGTCTCAGCACTGTCTAATTGTAGCGACCTCAGCCTTCCAAGGACTTCTTTCCGCCAATCCGCTCTCTCTCTCTGGGAGGCGTTGGGGGCGGACAAAGACCCAGATGGACTCGAACCTACTGCGTAGTGGCCGGCGTCTCATTGAATCAAGGTCGAATCGGGCAGGCCGTGGCAAAAAGGGACGATCCGAGTGGCCCGGAACGTCAGCGAAGCCAGAACCCGGCTTCCATGCCAAAGAGAAGAGTGGAAAGACGAGGAAGAATACCTAGAAGGAAACAAAAGGGGATGTCGGATGAAACTGGGGATGGGATGACCACCCCTCTGCTAATACTTCGGCGTGTTTTGTAACAAGAGAATTTTTTTTACCGGACAATCAGGGACGGTCCCATGGGAAAGCCAATTTCCTTCCTTCTTGCCCTGATCTGGTTGTCAGAAATCTACGGAAAGGTACGTAGCGCGGTACTTCGCATGTGCTTCCATGCGCAGGAGTAGGTAGCAGTTCGGACATTGCGCCTGCCTCGTAGAGGCAAAAGGGAATTGGGGTGGCGAAGTCGAGGCGCGGAAAACTAGGTATTACGCGACGTCCAGACTTTGGAGTGCTTGCCTATTTGCCTACTTACCTACGTATCTGTAAAGATACACGTGTATGTATTGCAACTGACATCTCACGCTGCATATGTACTTCGTACACTCTGGCGGTCTTTGGATGGGATGCGATGTTCATCCCCGGCCGAGACGACTCAGACGGCCTGGAAACGACAGGGAATGGGGGGTTAGACATGGACGATGCCCGTCTCACCCCCCTTTCCTCCTTCGTCCTCTTCGATTCTCACCCTCTTCCCCATACTACGCTAAGCGCACGGGATAAGGCAGGGCTTATCGTGAACTGAGCCACGCAGCCGGCATTCGCTTGAGAGACGGGAGGTGAGAATGCTGACTAGAGGTGCGACTTGAAGGTCGTTTAGCAGCGACGTGGATGTATCCGCCACTGTGGGGCAACTTTGGGTGTCTGTATAGACGACACTTCTTCCATTGATATCAAATCTGTATCCATAGCGAATGGTAACATAGGGAGGTAGACACGTGGAAGGAAAGGCGTCCAGGCTGGAAGACAACAGTGCCGATATGGCCCGAGGTTTGACGATGTGAGATTGCTGTGACCAAGGCGAAAAGGAAATTGACCACAA